GCTGGCTGCAGGCACTGCAGCCCCTGTGGGAGCACCTCCTGTGGCCAGTGATACCTGCAGGCATCTGATGCAGCCCCTCCACAGCCCTCCTGCTCTTGCAGCTGGCCCCTGGTGCTGCAGTTTGATTTCTTGTGCTGAGTTAAGGCTTCCCTCTTCCTTTGCTCTTCCTCCTTTACAGCTGTAGGTTTTCATTTCCCTGCATCTTGGCTGGGCCACAGGTATGGAAAAGCTTGTTGGAGACTTCTGTAGAGATGGTTTTTTCGTGTCTGAGAGAAGAAAAGAGGATTTTGCAGTAGCCCAGCATGACGTTCACCCACCCTTTTCCCAGCACTGCAGCATGAACAGAACTGCAGAGGCAGGGAGGGAATCATCTGTGCCATGTGTTAGTTGTTAATTTTAGCTTTACCATCACTCTTGACGACAGGGCTTGGTTGTTTCCTACTGTAGGCAGCATGTAGCAGTTATCCTGGAGATACGGTGTGGCTGTGAGACAGTAGAGCTGCAGCTCATCCCCGAGCCATGGCGTGCTTTCAAGGAGTGCGATAGCCAGATTCTCTCTCCGACTCGCACAGCTGCTGTGTGCTGAAGTTGAGAGGCCAGATGGTGCCATTTATCTTGCATTTGTACTAAACCCTTGACTTCAGGTTAAGCGAGGATGGCACTAGGAACAGGCTGAGTTCCACACGTGTCTGAGGACAAAGCTTGGCCAAAAGGTGGTTATGTATCTGCTGTTATGTGTACTCCATTTAATCCTTGCCTACTGCCTTTTTCTCAGTTCTGAGTACCTGGTGAAGTCCATATGTACTGGCATGGTCAAAAGAGCACCCCAGGATTTGACGTACAGGTCCCAAACTGAACTTCTAAAGCATGGGCTGCTCCAGGGAACTCTTACAAGTATATTGTAGCAGCCTTTAATGTGTTCTAAGTTGTTGCTTGTACCTTTGCTTGTTGCAATGCATTGCATTTGGTCTCTTGAGTCTGGTGCAAAACAATTGACTACACCAGAAAATTCCCATCTTATTTTCTCCTGGTGCAGATACCAGCATTTTGCTAATGCATGAGTTACCCAGAGGGCATCGTGCAGCTGATGGCTGTGTTGCCGTGCAGTGCTGGAGTCTCGCCTGGGTTGCATCCAGAGGTGTTCTTTTGGCTGGCACAGTCGAGCTCGGTGAAGTGGACTGCTGAAATTTGTGGGGAGTGCTGGCGGTGTGCTACAGCTAACTCCAGCAGGGAGTCCCTGGGAGCTCATTCTAGTGTCATTTTTGTTGGTGGTCTTTTGCCGTGGTCCACAGAGAGTGTTTGTTCTGTCTCTACTCTCAGGTGTGGTTAAGCACTATGTGAGGATGCAGACATCTCTTGGCTGCAGCAAAGGAACGCTGTGACGGTGCTCCCACTCAGCCAACATTTATGCAAACTTTGGGTATATGTAGCATCTTATAACATCTTTTTCTAGCTAGAGAGACACTAGATCTGTAGGAGAGCTGATGACCTGAGTGGAAATTTAACAGTTAATGTGTTAAAGAACTGGAGCCACAATTGGCTGCTTAGAATAGAGGTGTCGGGAGGGGCAGGGAATCATATAAAGGCTGAAGCAGTTGATCTGAAGTCACATCAAGTGAAGTGTCAGAAATGAGACACGCTTGCTCTGTAACAGAACATTCTTCATAGGCGGTTTAACAAGCTTTGGAATTAAATCTGGGGGGAAAAAAAGTGTAGCTGTTATGTCAAGGCTTTCACAAGCTTGCAGTGTGCAGTCTGGGCTGCGACTGGTGGAAAACAGCCATGTAGTCAGTGCTTTTCCTAGGCAGTTATGAGCTCACACTATACTCACACCACAGCTGCATATATATTTTCCAAAATACACTTTTGGAATTATACATGCACTTTTTTAGTATGCTAATTGTCTCTGTGGTCATTCATTCCTGGAGTTAATGACTAGTCTCTTGGAGAAAACAAGTTAACAAACTGACAGCTGCTCATAACAAATCACTTGCTGGAGAGGCCAATGTAAGTTTAACATCCACAATAAATCCTTCTTTTGCTTCTGATGGTTCAGTGGAGCAATGGCAAAGAAATGAGGCAATAACTTCATTTATCAAAGCAGTTCATGGTTGTAGTAGACTTGTGCATGAGAGCTCATAGACAGAAATGCCAGAGAATTACTAACTGCGAATTTCTGCTCCTCTTTGAGTAATATTATTATGTGTAAATAGGAAAAGGTTGATCTCTTGGTATATAGACTATCAATAGCTGCCAGTCCTGGGTACATGGTTGACATGAAAGATGGGCAAGAAGGGTGCAGATAGCTGGGGAGCTCTGAAGGGGCTCTCTGCTGGCCCCACTGCCCAGAGCAAACTGAAATGTCATACCAAGACCTGATGCTGGAGTCACAGATTGTTCATTTCTGGTGTGAGCCCCAGGTTCTCCACTATGCGTACAACCCCTCCTGCCCCAGGGCCAGGAGGGACTAGGGTTATTGCAGAGCTCATGGTATGTGATGAGACAGAGCAGGCTTGTGGATGCTGTGCTGCTGCTGGGAGTAATTCCTGCAGCTGCTGCCTGACGGGACTCCTTTTCTGATCACACTGTCCATGCTAATCAATAACCATCTTTCATCAGCAGTTAACCATTAATTCATGGCAAATAGCAGACTTTTTTCATAACCTTTGGTTACAAATAAATAAACAGACATGTCAGCGTTGAATAAGGCAACAAATATTCTGAAATTCCCATTTCCTGTGTTGGAGCTGAGCTAGTCTAAGGACCAGCATTTTCTTAACACTTTGTGTGCAATGAACTGATGGATCTAGCTGGCAGCTAGTTTGTGTTACAGGTTTAGCTTGGGATATTGGTATTTGATAATATTGTAGTTCATGCATCACTGAAACACTGAAATCAGGTTTAAGATTTTTTTTAAAAAAAATCTATTATTAATAGATTTATTGTTTTTAAAAGTTGTTTCTTTTGACAAATATGCTTATGGTCCACAATGGCAATATTGTGCCAGGATGTTGAGCTAATTGAATGAAAGAGTAATCTCTCTTTGTGATTCAAAATGAGGGAGTTAAAGGTACAAACACCAAGAAACCCATGATTTAGTGAAAGGTCTTTCCATTTCAGTATTTGAATTAGCAGCATAGGAAGATTCTTTTCTTCAAATGTAATTATTTTTTAACTTGACAGTATCCCATTTAAACCGATCGCACTATACAGCCTGCACAGGTGCCTGTGTTAATGCTGCATTGAACTGAAAGAGTTCGGTTTCAGAAATGGTGTTTAAAATGTGTCTTGAATATCCTGGGCAAGAGGGCAGAGATATTAATGGGCATTGTGTTGTCTATGACTGTTGCCTTGTTGAGAGCCCAGGTGAAGTCTCAGCTGTATTATTGGGTACTGCTCTTCTGCCAGCTTTGCTCATCTCCATACAGCACCTGCCAGGGCCAGGCAGCATTCCTGTCTCTCTGGTGGGGCAGCTTAGGCCAGTTCATATACTGGGAGTGAATAAAAGCAAAACCTATGGAAACTGAACTGCGACACCAAACACTTCGTTAGCTTAACTTTGTTCTTTCTGCTATTAAAGTTTCCACCAGTTCATAGTATGCTAATTTCCCCCCAGCAGCTTGTGTTTGTGCTGTCTGTGTGTTTGTGTGTATAAAATGTTCACAGCACAGCAGGGGAGAATTGTAGAAGATTAAAGCCCAATTTTGTTGTCTCAAGTTCCTAGACTCTTAAGTATATTAGCAGTTCTGTTGATGTTAATGATTAATACTAAGTTTGTGCGTGCATTTGGGGAAATAAGGCCTCAAACAGCATGTGCAGCACAGCAGCTTCATTACAGAGTTGTATGAGGCAAAACTCTCAATTTTTATTTTGTACTGTAGTGTTTCAAAAATCACACAGCCTTGTTGTGAGATGTACTGTCCTGCTACAATCAAATAGAGACCAATGGTCATCTTGGAAAAACTTGAAATTAATGGTCCTGAGTATGTGACAGAAGGGCATGGATTCTCCAGCATTTAATTCCGTCTTCATGGGGATACGGAAGCAAAGTGATTCTTGAGTTATCTCCCTTTCCTGCTTTGAATATAGAGAGGTTATGCATAGATAGAAATATATGCTTAGGCAAAAGACTCTTGAAGTTATAATTATGAGGAAAAAGCTTTCTAAAAACAAACAAAAGACTACCCCAAAAAAACCTCTTTGTGTAGTGCTTATGGAAATCATGACCTTTCCTGTGAGTCTGCTGAGTGTGGAGCTAACTGCTGACTTTGACAGTCCTCATGGGAGTCATCCCCAGCATCACCGAGAGCAGGCTCGGTCAGTGAAGGTGAATTTCTGACCCTGCTGAAGCAAAACTGCTAGCCAGAATTTTTGCCCTTAGAGCATAAGGAAGGTAGAAGCCTTGCTCTTCTGTTTTGTAAGGTGCCTGGCTATGTTTATGAGGTTGCATACTACTATTAATGGAAAGTAAAACAATTATTAAATGTGACTGACAAACCCATTTTCCTGGTACTGCATGGCTTCTACCATGGACCCATGCTGTTGATGTTGCATTGCTGGAGAGGGGCAAAGAGAAGTCTTGGTTTTGGACTGAATTTTTGTTTTATTAGTGATTATTGAATGTAATGTGGTGGAGCACCTAGTTGTGAAGGTCTTGCTAAATTATTTCTTGAGCAAATGGAGTTATTTCCAGGGTGTGTGCAGAGTTTCTGTCCTCTTGTTGCCCCTGCCTCCTTTGGATTTCTGTCTTTAGCCAGCCTCAGTCTCCATATATTGGAACACCACCAGAGGCTTCCCCACCTTTTATTTTGGGTTAATTTCCATGCATTTGTTTCGCTCAAGCCACCTGCTGCTGTCTTGAGTACTTGAATCTATTCAGGGTGAGGAACTTATTGATTTAGGGCCTGATGGGGGTACCGTGAGTATTATGAATCAACAGCCCGGAGCTGTTTTTAGGAGCTGCGGAGGATTCTAACTTTCATTCTCTTTCTGCTTTCTAGGTATTTGTATAAAATGTGGAAAAGGTGTGTATGGAGCGAGCCAGGCTTGCCAAGCAATGGGTAACCTCTATCATACCAACTGCTTCACGTGCTGCTCTTGTGGTAAGTTGGATCTACCATAACCTTGTTAAGTGGCTTCCTTTGGTAATACGTATTCGTGTAGCAACCAGTATACAAAGTGAGACCTCATCGTGCCTGCTTCCTGAGGCAAAATTCCCATGCAAGACTCCAGCTTCAAAAGTTGTTTTTTATGTGCCATCTGTAAGTGTTCAATGGTGTTTTCTTAAGCAACAGCCTAGAAAAGTAGTATTTGGTTGTTTTAAGTGCTGTGTTTCCAAAATGTCTTCAACCTGGCCATTAAAAGCACTACCTACTTTAAATCACTTGTGTTTATTGAACAGTAATGTGCATTTATCATTTTTAGAGAAAAATGATAATTTTTTTGCAGCCAAAACCATATTTTTCTTCACTTTCCATTTGCAAATGCAGCTGTAGTCAAGCATGTATATTTGTCATTTCTGTATATACATAATGCTCAAAAATTGTTCTCGTATGTTTGAATGTGATAAGAACAAATAGAAACTGCATGTTGAAACACCTTAAGCTGTAACAATACTTTATTTTTGTAGAGGAAAACTTGCAGGTAAATCACTGTCTCCTCCGTGCCATTCTTATGACCATTTTAGATTTCTCTTTTAATCTGAACGCATCTGAAAGTGATGCATTCTATATGTGATTTGGGGAAGACATGACTTTGCTGGAAAAACAGGACTTAGAAAATTCAGGGCAGCACTTTCAGAAGTGTTTGCCTTAAGTCAAGCATTGTGACCTGAAGTTGGAAAATTTCTCAGTGTCTTGACTGTAACTGCTGAGAGCTCACAAATTCCCACCGAGTTCAAGGGAAGTACAAGAGCTAAATTTTCAGGAGTCGGGTAATGTTTCTTGATATACCCACACATTTATTTGGGTTCCTAATATATGAAAGTATTTGTCTGGATGTTGAAGATCTTGTTACAATACATAAACACAGCAAAAGATTTACTCTGAGCAGAGTATGCTGAGCATAAATTGTTTATAAAAAGGATTAATTGAGGATTAGAAAAAGAGTAAGATTATTGGCATAGAACCAACCAAGTTGATAATGAAAAGACCATTGTAAAGTTCACTTGTGAAAGGAGAAGTGTCCTCTTTTCTCCTGACATCTGTACAGATAAATATTGTTTTGAACAAACCTAAATTTCGAACGTAGAATTTAGTGGCCTTTACAAATGACGCTGGACCATTACCAGGTTCTAGAATAAACTGATCTCAAACCTTCAGGGATTGCTCTTGACTTTGCTCAAGTCTGACAGTGAATGAGTGGTTATTTTGTTTGCTCCTAAAGTGAACAGCATCCTGCTTAGCAGAGGATTACAAAATACGATATCAGATAATATCTATCCACTCATCGCCAACATTAACCTAACCTAATTGCATGGGTGAATTCCAGCTTCCTCTCTGGGGCAGGCGTGGGTTTTTTAAGTAGTCGGGATGCATGTTTGCTACCACAGGGGTCTGTACACAGGTCACTGTGTTCCTCAGAAGAATGTATAAGGGCTGAGGAATGTATTTTAACAGCAAAATACAAACCCAACTTAATTATTCAAAAGCACAACAAGCTTTTCTGACTGTCCTGGCAAGGTATGTGTGGCCGGTGTACATCTGCCATAGGGCAACTTGAGACATGTCTGTTCGCAGCGTAGTTTTGCCCCACCCCACGGTGCCAGTGGAATTTCGTGACTCACAGCAGCTCTCTGTGAGTCACGCACACGCATGAAGAAACGGTGCTGCAGGTTGTCTTCTGAGCTTCTCCCTGTACTGCTCATGGGCTGGAGGGCCCAGCTAGCATCCGCCAGGATGCTTTGCAAGCAAGAAGGGCTTGGATTTCCTTCTGTCTGCCACCTCTGATACCATCCCATCGAAGCAGAATGTGCGGGCACTTTTCTGTGTTAGGCTCTGACAAGGTGGATGTGCTGATAATGTGGCAGTTGGCCTGAGCGCGGGTGAAAAAACTTGATCAAAGCTTAGGTTCAGCTGTGTGCAATTATGAGTCAAAAGCAGAGCTTTTCCTCTCAACTCAGCTCCAAAATAGTATCAAAAAACGACCATAGCTGGAAAGGGGGTGTTGCATTAACTCTTTGGTTTCCCCATCTATGGGAATCGCATCCTGGAGTGTGTTGCTGAAAAGGCTTTACAGAACCTTTCGTGCAAGCAACCAAACGCAAACTTCTCACAGTACTGCAGTTTATGAACAGGGAGTTCATTTTGCCTTCAGTGTGACATTGGTGGGACCCAGGTGGAATTCTGTGGTCTAGTTTTGGTGCCCACCTTTGAAGAGAGGAGGAAAAGCTGGAGAGGGTCTGAAAGGAGTTACATAGGTGATTAAAGGCTGAAGGAAAGCTAATTGTGAGATCCTGGTGTATTTGGGGTATCAGAAATGATGGGACGGACATGTGGCTGGACCTCAGATACTTTTACCAGAGAACAGCGTTATAAAGTGGTCTCACATGTACTAGAGACAAACACAAGAGACGTCTTTTCTGGAGGCTGAAATGACACAATTCAAATACAAAATCAAAGACTGTTTTCATACAATGAGGATGATTAACTGCTGGAACGAAACAGCAAGAGAAGTGGCAGATTCTCTGTTCTTCTTTGTTTTCAAATTAAGACCAAATGTCCCTTTGGAAAGTGTTTTAAGTTGAGCCAAGCTTTTAGATTCAATACATAGGTAACTGGGTGATTATTAATGACCTGTGCTGGGCAAGAGGTCACAGCACACAGACTAATGCTCCTTCTGAGCCTTTGACAAGAGAGTGGAGAAGTACGTTAGTGCTCTCTGCCTAAAACAATTCCTATGTATACTTAGAAATCTGAGACAGAGTAAGAGTGCAAGCTTGCCATTCTTTTTTTCCTTTTTTTACCCCCAAATAACAAGAATGATCCCAACTCTCCTCCAGCAGTTGAGTCTTACTTTCAATATAATGAATCTAGAAGTAGAAGGCAGTAACCAAAGAAGAAAAATTTTGTACCTGAAGACATCTGATTTAGATAAGGGCCCAATATTTAACCAGCTGCAATTAAAAAAAAAAAAAAAAAATTCAACCCCCTGGGAAAAGTTGCGGTTTGGAGACCACTTAGGCTGAAATGTGATATTGAGTGATGGAGCCTCCAAGGGCCTCATTTCAGCACTCAGCAGTGAGTATTTTCAGCTCAGCAAAGACAAGTGCAGTTATGCGGAGAAGTGGGAAGAGACCCTCAGTAGGAAATTCTTCTGGAGTCAGAGTCCTTTCTTAGGCACTTCTTTGGGTTTAACCTTGGTTTCAGTGTCAAGTGCCATCTGTCAGGGCACCCTAGTTGAAAAGGGCGGCACGTGGCAGAGTGGGCCATCCTGCACCCCTGAGGGAGCATACAGGGCTTGCCCCAGCACTGTCCTTTTCGACTTCCACCACCATATACCACACCAATGCTGGAGGGTTTGTGTTGCCTGTAATTAGGAGGAAAACCTAAAATGCGCTCACAGGTGCAGGCACCTCTGAGGACTCCAGCCTTGCTAGTGTAGAAGTGTGAGGATGCAAGGATGGATTCTCAAGGGTCTTCTACAGTGATGGTGGTTAGCTCTTGAGAACATGAATGCAGAAAGATGAGGAAATATTGCAGAGATACAGTAAATCAACAGGAGACTTCTGTCCCCTTTAGATGTTTTGGTAAAATGCTCAGATCGTACATCTCTTCACTGTCTTCCTAGGTTCTGTCAATCTTTGGGATAAAACTCAATAATATATTGATTCAGAGTTGTGCAGGATCTCTTCAAAAAAAGGAAATCTTGCCAATGAGCTGAGGTGAGAGGAAAAATGGAAAGGAAAAGTAAATGACCTGGCAGGCACATTTTATGTGCTGTGTTTCTGCCTCTTCAATGTGTTCAGTGGGCTTTGGATGGTTGAGCCTTGCTCCCATAACTGAACAAGTTCAGCATCTCAGAACTCTGCTCTGTCAGTTTGGTTTTGTTATGTCTCTGTGTAAACCCCTGTTGCCTTCTGCAAAAAGCCATGCTTCTCAGATAGCTTTTTTCCTAGAGGTCAGGTAATTCTCTTCAGGGGCTGTAAAAGCCAAAGCAATGTGGTTTCCCTGGGACCAAGTAGTTCGATGTAGATCTTTATGCACAATCTCTTAGAGAAAAAAACTGAAGCTTGTTAGGATGGTTTTTAAATGTAGATTCAAATCCTCTTTCAGCCCTAACAGCAGTGGAAACTGTTTTAGGCCTTGATTCAGCAAAACACTTAGACATGTGCTTAAGTATGTTCTATTTCTCATATGTAAGCACACTTTGCTGAATCTTCAATAACAGAGATTAATTCAGGCAACAGCATACGCTGTCCCTTCTGTTAAGTGTAAAATTTTGGTTTTGGCAGGAGTTCACTTGCAGATTTTTCTTATGGAAGACAAGAGCTGAAAAATGTCTGCCTGAAAAGCTCATTATCTAATTCCTCTTGGTAGTATTTCAGAGCGTGACAGGATTTCTTGAAGAACAATTGCAATAACGCCAGATCACTTGTGTGCTCTAAGTGCAGGTGATCAGCTGCAGGAATTAATGGGCTCTGTTTGATACTCATTACAGAAGATAACATGAGTTTGCAGATGATAATGCCATCCACAGCATCTTTTCAGGCTGAAAATTTTAATTCAGTGGCAATGGTTGTAGAAACTGCAGTAAGACTACATCTTTACAACGAGGAATATGGGTTTGTTATTTGTTACTCTGCAGGTGTAGGAGATGGGCAGGGAATGAGCTTTGCAGATCTAAGGGTGTGCAGTCTCAGCTTTTAGAATATGGAGATGTATTTCACCATGAAAACCAGGAATGCATTCTGGTCTCTTAGATGAAGGCAAATGTTGGAGCATGCCATTTGTTAATTTGCACTTTTGTCACTGGTTTTAAGGCACAGGAAATCACTGCAAGATCGGTCAGAAGCCTAAAGCAAACTGTATAATCCCAGAGGTACGCAGCCCATTTCTTACCTGGTAGCTATTGATCAGAGTGGAGCACTCACGGAGGTTTCATA